GACGATGCGCCTCTGGGCGGCCTGAGGCAGGGCAGCGCCTCTGGAAGGACTGCTTCCTCTCCGGGGTGCGCTGGGAGCTGAGCAGCTGGACTGGGGAGCGACCAGCTTTTGGAGACCATGTGTTACTGCGTCTTCTCTGCATCTTAAAATGGCCTTAAAGCCCTGGCCGGTTTGGCTCAGTGGATAGAGCATGAGCCTACGGACCAAAGGGTCCCGGGTTCGATTCTGGTCACGGGCACGCAGGATGCCTCCAATAGACGTGTTTCTCTCATATCCATGTTTCTCTCTGTCTTTCCCTCTCTCTCCCACTCTCCCTAAAAATCAATGGAAAAATATCCTTGGGTGAGGCTTAATAACAACAAAAAAAAGGCATTAAAGTTTCAGATCAGATCCCTCTGAAACCTTACCCGTACCAAAAACAGCCGTAGCCCATTCTCTTTCGAGTGCTTTAAAAAATGTCCATTTCAGCGCGGTCATCTCACTGTAAGTCGTGCGAGGCCAGATGTGTATGCGCAAATGGAATATTAAATTCGCCTCCCTCCAAAGCAGACATGACGAAAGGCAACGATGTTCTAAACCCCAGGACCGAGCCCCTCACACCGGGCACAGGCCCCGGGGCCCACTGTCAGCCAAGGTGCAGGTTTCATGCAACTGTTCCCAGCTGAGGGCTTAGCGCCCGACAGACAAACAGGAAGAAGCTTGTGGTTTCTGTCGATTTTAAAAGACTCTGGACCCTGCTCTCACGCTTTGGTGAGCAACCTCTGGGAACGGAGGGCACTTTTGGGGGTGAGGGCTGCGCCCACTCTCCGGCGGGGATGGTTTCCCGCACCGTGAACACATGTCAAAACAGCAAACTGCACACTTTAAACCTGGGGCGCTCGTTGTGTGCCAACTACATACACCTCCATACGCTGTACACCCCGCCTCCGGCTAAAAGGAAACTAAAATCGCCTCTCGCCCCACCGCCCGGGGACCGGGCCTCAGTGAGCTGCGCGGCCCTGGTGAGGGGAAGGCGGGTCTGGCCGTGCCCTCCCGGCCCCTGGGGTCCCATCAGTCACCGGGGAGCCTG